TGTGATATATATATATATATATATATATATATATATATATATATATATAATACATATTTTAAAATTGCTCCTGGGTCTGATCAGATTTGAATTGGTTTGGCATAGTTGTGTCTGGAACTCAGCCAGTCTGGGCTATCCTATGAGATCCTGTCTCAAAATATAACAATAAAATAAGATAAATTGTGTCTGACCGGGTATGGTTCGAGGGCCTGTAATCCCAATACTGGGAAGACTGAGACAGGAGGATTATGAGTTGAGGTCAACCTGGCTGAGGCCTATTGTAAATTACTAAACCAAAGTCCCACAATAAGGCTCAGTGGATGAGAGGTGCCTGCCACCAAGCCTCAGGACCTGAGTTCAATCCCTGGGACCCACATGGTGGAAAGAGAGAACCAACTCTTGCAAGTTGTCCTCTGAGCTCCTGCACAACGCCCTTCACCAAATAAATAAAAATATAATTTAAAAGACAAAAACAAAACAAATAGAAGCTTTGTGTAGGTATCATTGTTCCTAGCTGTTCCTTCCCCTGAGAAGGCTCAGCGTTTGTTATTTACCTGGCACCACCACCAAGTGGAATATTGTAAGTCCCCTACCTCAGGGGTGGCTGGGAACATGGAGTCACAGTTTCTAAGGGCTGTCATTCCATAAACCACCTGAACCCTGTACTCTCTGTTATCTGTGGTGAGCCCACAACATCCCATGATAACTTCAGACGCGGGTCCATCCCACAGTGACTTACTGGAGGGTCGTGAGGCAAGTCTCAGTAGAGACTCCGAGGAAGCAGTGTGTTGCAGATAGAGGGACCAGCAAGGGTACAGTGCAGAGAGCTGGTGGGTGTGTAAGGGACACTTAGGAGACTTGAGGAGTGTCGGAGGAGGCAGTCACCGAAGTTTGTACCCATGTTCTCCTGGCAGTGCGTGGGGACAAGGGAGGGCAGAGAGACAGACAGGAGATGAACACAAATGTGTTGATGGTGGCTTAGACTCAGCCAGCAACACAGGACACGTGACGAGGGCTGGCGAGGGGCCACACTCTGTCTTCCTTTCTGCTTTCCTTTCACACCATGGGCCCCAGGCTGTGGGTCAGCAGACTTTCCCTGGGACTACCAAGGAGCCTGCAGCCTCTCTAGGGTCAGCCCTGGACCCCGTCCCTGGAACAGTTGCTGTCTCCCCAATCCCTAAGCCCACTTAGACCCCTGCCT